TTTCTTTAGATGTGGTAATCTCAAAAACGTTTTTGAGATTACCACATCTAAAGAAATATTGATCCTGGGGCTTCGAGGAAATCCGATGCCACCCCTAAACCACAAAAACTGAGAGTTCGCTTGATTCCCATTTTAAATAGGACACTTTGGACTATCTACGTGTGAAAGAAAAATCGATAGATAGCCGGTTTAGTTTTGAGAGATACGAAGTGGTTTTCCAGACCTCCTTTGAAAACTCGATCTTTAAAATTTTTCCGAAACCAGTTTTTGCCTATGAAAACATAGCTTAAAGTATTGGCTATCGAATGTTGAAAACCGCATGTTAATATCTTGCGTCGTTTAAGACTTATAAAGAAATTTAACTCATGTCTGTTTAAACAGACATTAGGAATGAACGGGTTAAGATGATCGGATTCATTTATCTAACTATTATTCATTTCAGTATATAATGCAAATAGCTATTTTGTTAAATAGCGTTTGATTGAAAAAGAAAAAGACCTGCGATTTTTATCGTTTGAAAGCCAAGATTCGAGTTCAACTTTTCATAATAAAATAAGCTTAGAGCATTTGGCGAAAATAGGATTTCTAGGAGATCTTAGAAATCTAGTTTATAGTTGAGAGACTTCGAACGTTTGCTTTTAGTAAAAATTCTAAAGCCTGATGAAAATCTATTCTAAGTAACATAGTATAATCCAGTTTAGGTTGTTTTCATGCAAGACTAAAAAATTCATAACTCACTTACTATCGGTTTTGAACACTTCAAAATATACTCGATTTTAACTGTTTCACCTTATAATATGGCTTAAAATGCGTATATTTATATTTTACATTTTCCAGAACAATTACTAAGTTTCAGGGTGTTTTCTTTGAATTTGCCGTACTTCTAGATTTATCAGCGTATTTAGAAGCTAGAATAAAGTATATTTTGAAGTTTTGAACGGAAATTGCGTGAAATGACATATAGATAAACAAACATCTTATTTTTATGCTTAGATTGCGTGATGCTAGCCGCGCAGAAAAATATTTTCTATAAATTACAGTACAGCTGAATTTCCTTTTTTAGACGAATTTTATAAATACTTAAATAGTTACTAATTTTTGACGAAGTTTGTGAATCAAAAATGAAAAAGAACATTATTAGATTTTTTTTGATAGAACTCGTTTGTTAACCTAATGACCACTACATCATACAGCAAAGTAAAAAGGTATTTTATTGCAATAAACTGTGCTATTGATTTAGCCAGACAAATCTTTGATTAGAGTAATACTGCTATAGAAAAAGTTTTGCTAGTAAGTGTACGACTAGTCCAAACATCATACACCGTTTGCATCTAATGCTCAAATTTGCAAACTTTTAGAAAACATTGTGTGGATAATAAAAATCACGCAAAACATCGTGTGTCAATGTTAAACTAACTGTTTCTCTATACCGTTGAGCAAACATTTTAACAGCTTGAAAGTATCTTTAAATACTTCGAGTACACAAGAGCCTTACGCTTAGATAAAATTATTAATTACTATTAATAAACATAATTGTTCTGAACAATCTATTATCTTATGCATTAGTTTTGGAGTACCTACGTATATATAGCAGCGTACTTCGCGAATCTGAATGAAAGTTATTGTTTTTAATCTATATTACCAGTGTATATGTATGTATGTATGTGTACGACTTTCGTCAGATAATCACTATACCATATGGCATGCAAACATTATAATTTTTTGCCATTTTTCAGACTCTATACTTGAAATAAATTGAACTTTTGATTATCTGTTGCATGCACGTTTATCATATAAAACCAGAAAACCTCCTTTTTACCATCCACTTATGGTAGAGATAAAGCCATTGTAAATCAAGAGCAACTGAAGTCGAAGGGAGTTAACCGTATGAAAGGAACCTTAATGGAGTATGATCGTTGTACTCCTAAGTTAAAAAATTTGAACTAGCATAATGATTTTGCAGACGAATCATGCGTCAAGTCTAACAGTTACAAATGGTAATGGTTCGACATTTATAACAAGTACACCATCTGAGTTACGTACGCGAGGGTCAATTACATCCGATTTTGATACATCATCTATATTAGACAGCGTCTCGTTAAATAATATGTCAATGAATAATGATTCACATGATTCTTCACATCTCGAGCTGAATACTGGTGAGAAGAAAGATCATTCAGCTGTTATTTCTACAATTGTTCCTACACCTACACCATCAGAAGAAAAACCACTTAAAAAGAAAGAAAAAAGACCTCATTTGTCCACAAAACATTCACCACCACCCGATCCAATTCCATCTATTTCTATTCCAAGTAATAAAATAATAGTAACAACAGCTCACTCTCCCACATCACCCACATCTCCAGTCTACAATAGTCGAAGTTTTTCGGTCACTGGTGACGATATCGAAGCAGCATTTGACGCTATCGCTACATACAAATCTGAACATCAACCTACTTCAACGTCGGAGATGTTTCATTCTACGTATCATAACAACCATGATTATGAGATAGCCACACCTGATGCTATATTCGGTTTGTCATCAATACCAGAAGATCATGATGAAATACGTTCATCTATATATGATACAAAAATAATAGCAGACGAACCTTCAACCAACACGAATCCCGATGATGTAATCGAAGAAATTGATTTCGATCGTTATTTTAAACAGAAACAACATTCGATAGCACCGAACAAAATACAAAACGAAACACTGTCGAAAAAACAAGAAAAACAAGAAAGTTCAAAACGAAAAGGAGCCGCACCACGTAAAGAAGAACCTTTGACTGTTACATCGTTACCACCAAAGTCTGTCCGTGCAGTACCCGAAGAAAAAGTCGCTGTGAAAGAAGCACAAAAAACTTCAACAAATATTTCTGCAGAAGGAGTTGTGAAAAGACCAGCTCCTGTCAAAGAAGTTCAACAACAAGCACAGATAAAAATTGAACAATCATCACCAAAACTATCACACAATAACACCGATTCCATTGAAGATGATGATGAGGAAGATGATCATTCAGTAGATGATGATGTCAATGAAATTGTGTCTAAATTAGAGGTTTGTATTATTTCTTCCTAAATCATAGTACGACATACATACACATACACTTGCCTTCTAATTACTCTCCTAAGAGTCTTTTTTCTTTTGTGCAGCAATATTTATCATGTTTTTCACATTTCTGTCTTTTAAACAGACACTATCACATGTGGGCAGAGCCTGATATTTAAATTTTGCTCTACATTTGTATAGAACCAAAGATTTTTGAAAAATTTAAAATAGATTTTAGAATTTTTGTCGTGTAATATTTACCAAACCATAACAGAGCAAACATTCAAATGTCGGAATCTGTAAACTTCTAACTACATGTGTTAATTCTAATTGAAAACTAACCCGAACGCTTTAGCATCTATCAAAAACAAAAAATCCGAGAAATCCGAACAACTCCATTTTGACCATTATTGTGGCCACATCCTAGGAGCTATGTTAATTATAGCCTTAATGAATGTTCATACTTGGACACAGTCGTCACTCCCTGAAATTTTAAACTAGATCTAGCTTATTGTTATGAAGATAAAAGCTTGACAATATCCTGACTGTGGCTGCATGGTCAATAAGGAGATTTTGCTTCATTTCTGTGCTTATTTATTGGCGTTGTTTCGTTTGCTGTATACCAGAGATCATTTGGCATATATCACTCTTTGCAGTTGAGCATTTCAGTAGCTTATTCATGCAGATAAATTCTACTTACTATGGTGTTTTACTATTATTTTTTTTTCCAATTTATACAAGTGAATTCGAAAGACTTGTTTCTAATCTCTTTCGAAAGAACGTGTATGTGGATGCCGAGCATTGAGACTCAGTAACGCATATGATAAGTCAGCGAACACGATAAACATGTCAAGGACAATAGTAAATGATGAAATTGCTGAGAGAGAGAGAGAGAGAGAGAGACAGAAAAGGGTTTTTATCGTATGTGAATAAATTTCTACATGTGATAATAAAATAGACATTGCTCAATGTCATGTTTCGTATAGTTTTATATGATAGTGGTAGAAATGAAACTCATTGTTTAAGTTTTTATTCATATATTTTACACGCTTATGTTTGTTGATTATTTTTAATTAAAATTTTCAAAAATCTTGATTGTATACATAACCGCGCTGATCACACACTGATCGTATACATATATATATATATGTATATACAGCTACAAATATATGTATAAAACACCTCTTAGCACCTCATAGTATTCTCTTATTTACTATTAGTTGATCACTTATCATATATGATTTTGTGGTGTACGTGTATGTGTATGTCATTGTAGTACGCTTTAATTTATGATATACCTGCATTTATAAGTTTTTTTTTCTTCTAAAAATCACATCTATGTAAGTAACTAATGATAAAACGACTGTTATTTAGAGAAATATTATCATCTGCTATAATATACTTTCGGGACGTCTTGATAACGTTTTCGATATTAGTTGTTTGTTTAATACCATTTTTCACACTAATTAGCAAATGAATATTTGTGAATTGAAATATTGATGTTAAATGCAAATTTAATGACTGTTATCAAGACGTCTTTAGAGTAATGTAAAGAGACCAGCACTTCTCCTTCTCTGACTTTTGATAATGAAAGATGTTCCACCAACAAATGTTAACTTTAGAGAATGTCGAGTATGCGTTCATCAGTGAAACGAAAAGTACAGCCCAAAGAAGATATTATGCAACAAAGTATTGAGGTAATCATTAATTTTTTATTTTTTATTATTCGTATTTTTCACAAAAAATAAAAATAAATTATTTCAGACTTCTGCTATATTACCGTTATTAAATGATAATCGTCCTTCTCATTTAATTTATTCAAATCGATATGATAATAATAATAATAATAATATCGATCAATTTAATGATGATGACATTCCGACACCAAATGCGGATGTCATTATTGTAAGTGAAATAATATGTGTTATTCGTTTATGCATATGTTATAAAATGTTCATTCGCATTTATCATCTGTTACTGTCTATGAAAGTTATATATGTATGGCATGTGCTTTCTGTTCATGTTTTTTGCATGTTTACATATTCTATTTTATTATTTTCTCTATTCGTATATACTTTTAAGTTTATTTTAAGTAAGGTGCCATAAATTCAATCTCTTACTAAGGTTCCTCACCATTCTATTCGACAACCTCGATTTTTTTCAAATTTCTGCATCGAAAAAAACACCCGAGATTTTTATCAATAAAGCCCAAACTATCCAAAAATTCCCATACAGATCTCATTCGTCTCAGTTTTTGAGGGTGATTTCGAATGTCATATTTCTTTTTGTTAAAAAAATGAAATTTGATGGTAAAAATCTTAAAATACAAGTGTATTTCAGTATTTTTTGTCACTGATTTAGAAAAAACGAGTTTTCTTGGCAACGGAATAAAGTAAAGAAAAAAGTTATGTGTACTTTTAAAGCTCGTTTAATGGCAATTCTAATGAAATAAAAAGGTCGGCTTCATCTCGTCTCAAAAACAATCAGATAGGTTTGTAAAATTGTCGAAAAAAAACTTTTACTGGAAGCTTGAATTTCCGGCACCTTATAAAATTTATAATATCAAAAAAGTGTACAGTTTGGGCGGTGAGGCTCAGCCCTCATTAAATTACTCTGCCTCTTTTCCACTACAAACTTCTGCCGTGACATAAGTATCGATTTCAAAAAAGTAGGTGACATATTCTTAAAAGACTATATAACCTCAGAACGGCTCATAAAAAGTACTTGTGAACGTTGTCCTCTGGGGAAAAATCTATAAAAGATAAATTAAATACGGCAAAAAATAGAAAAATGCAGCAAAGACCATTTTACTCTCGATTAGAGACGACATGCGTCTCAATGAATCATAATCTCATAACTTTTTAAAAACTATCGATAATTCAGTGATTCTAAGTGGAGCTAGTTTTCAGTAAAATTTGAGTGAACAACAGTATAATAACGATACATTACACTGAGAGAAGCCTATCAAATATCATCAAGTAATAAACTAACAGCTCCATTTTTTGCAGACAAAAAACGCTTATCAGTATACTTTTTACTGCGTAAATTATATTGAGATAGTTTGCTGTGCTCAGTTCTCCCTCTCCTCTGCTACCATATCGGACATTGAGTATTTTTACAATATACTTTGAAATCAGTGATTTAGTAAAACACGTAATACTCAGTTATTCTTTCACTCTTTGAAGAGTTGCTGTGTATGTAATCAAGTGATTTCTAACATATCGAACTACATTTTTATTTACCAACAAGATTGGAATTTGTCGTTAGTATTTGTATGCCTGCATGATTATTTATTAACAATATTGTTATTTAGAAATATTTGCAGTTAATAGATGAACAAAATATGCACGTAGTTCTAGAGAAATCGATGTGCTTTTCCCATGATGAAAATTTTATATTTTATACCCTCGAAAATAAATAAATAACACAACGATTTTGTATACTGCTTTTTCTTACGAGGGAACCTTCCGAAGTGCTTATATCCATCTCCAATGATATTAGGTTTGTCGATAGAGAATATTGTTCTAAATAAAAATCTAAACGAATTTGTATCCGTATGATTTCTTTCCAAAAGTGTGCATATGTTTTGTTTGTTTATAGAACGAGCTACACTGAAATTTTCGTTTCTCAATAAAAACAACCAGAAAAGAATTGAACTTTTTTTTCATAACTATGCTTGTCATCTACTAATATTACAGAAATACTTCTTTTAAATGAGGAGACCGCTCGCTTCTTTCCGCCACACAGAGGTCTTCTACTGCAGAAAGGCCTTTTTTTGTTTTTTAACTTTTTGAAAAAACAGTCATGTAATAAAGTTAATTAAGTTGTATTCTTTTCTCTGATTCAGAACGTTTTCATTGGAGAGAATATAAATATAAAAACACTTACTCCACTAATAAGTAATGTGAGTTATAGAAAGCTAAAAGATTGCTTCAGAAAATAAGGTTTCCTTCAACCAGTGACTTATCTAGGTTTTTATTTCCGGAGGGGCGAATCAAAGGTTTGGAGGGGCTACTGGCTTATTTACTGACAAAGTCTGAAAGATAAGTTCCTAAAATCCGGAGGGGCAATGCCCCTCCGGTCCCTCCTCTAGATACTCTGCCCTCAATGAAGTAAAATTCAACTGCTCATTATACAGAAGAGTTGAAGGTCCGAATATTTCTGTGATAATAATACATGACAAACATAGTTATGAAAAAAAAGTCCAACTCTTTTCTGGTTGTTTTTATCGAGAGATGAAAACTTCAGTGTTACTGTAACTCGATCTATAAACAAACAGAAAATATGCACAACTTTGGAAAGAAATCATACGGAAATTCTTTTAGGTTTTTATTTAGAACGATATTCTCTGTCGACAAGCCTAATATCATTGATAATAGAGATGAGCACTTGGGAAGGTTCTCTCGTTAACTATTTATGTGATATTAATAAGCATTTGTATGAATAGTCTTGTACTTTGGTTAATTATATGCAATATATACATAAATAAAAAAATATTGATCAAAGGCTCTTTACTTTGACAACATCGTTTGTATGTGCAAATGAATAATAATCTTTTACTCTATTTATTGTTTAGATCGATGGTCCGATGAAGTACAGTGGTAAGTTAGAGAAAAATATTCACTAGTTTTCAGTCTTAACATCGAAAATATCTCTTATTCTTAATTTAGATCAAATACCATCATCATCTTCGGCGTTTCGTAATAATCAAGATAAATCGGGTCGTACAGGATTACCCGATATTGTTATTGAACAAAGTATGGTTATACATATAGATATATATGGGTTTTACTTCAATACTATAGACAAAAATATTTGTACATTTAGATTCACGTCAAACACAAAATCAAACACAACAACAACCAGTGAAAAAAGGTGGTCTAAATGTGTTAGGTTATAATAATGTGAATTCAGCGATTATACAACCTAAAATAAGAAAGGAATTAGAATATCTCGATCGTGAAGTATGAATAATTTTTCATCTCTATCGTATTCATGAATGTTCAAATTATTTGATTGGATACATTTTGTTTCAGGAATTATTACATCTAATATCCCATCAAAATGATTTAGTAAAAAAGAAAGAAAATCGTCTAAAAGATTTAGAAGGATATGTTGACGGTTTACTTATGAAAATACTAGAACAATGTCCAACAATACTTCAAGTAGGAGCACAATATTGATAATTAATAATAATAATAATAATAATAATGACGAATACACTTGAAAAAAATCAATGTTTAATGCTTTGCTATTGCTGTTAATAACAATAATTAATTGTTCTCTGCTTTTTTAATGATTCTATGCACATACTCACTCAATTGTATTAATTTGGCTGGTCCATTTTATTTGTTAATAGTTTTTTTTTGGTTCTAATTTTTCATCTGTGCTTTATCTTATCATACTTCTTTTGTTTTTTGTGTAACAACGCTTTCTTCTTATTCTTTTGTGTGTATATTATTTATGCTCTAGTATAATGGTGTTAATGAATAACCGTATGTTTAACTCTTTTAATTTAGAATGGAACATTCAAATACAAATGAATAACTTCCAATGACTACAACGGAAGAAGAAATTTTGTATGTATACCAGCTTTTTTTTCTTTAATTATCTAATCGATGATTATGTTCATCACAAATCTAGAGAGTATCTATGGTTCTATTTTAACGTTTTCTTTCTTCTTGAAAAAAGGTTTAGACTCAATTTTTGTTTTTTGTCTCTATGTGAACGAGGGGAAAATAATAATAGTCCCACCGGTGATAATCAGTGTTTTTTCCTCTTTTCTATTGATCAACTAACTCGTCTTCTCCAAAGTGCCTATAATTTGTATATAATTTTTTGTTCTTTTATTTTTCAACTTTTTTTTTCTTTGTCTAAAAATTAACAATATTTTTCGATAAGAGTGTAAAAATATTCAGTAGTATATAAAGCAATATTTTATATTCAAATGTTAACCTTATTTTTTCTTTTCGTTTCAATTTATACAGTTGTGCCCTCGATTTTGTTTTTTTAAGACAAAAAATTAAAGTCGGTTGATCTAGATGAAAAAAGACTCTTTGATCTATTCAAATTTATTGCGAGATTGTTCGGTTTGTTGTTTATTTTCTAATTGTTAACTCAAGGGTTGTTTTCCTCGCTAATATTTTTGTGACTGATAATAAAAAATGTCTTTTTTACCATTAAATATATATATCTTTTGCGATGCTGTTGCCAGAAACATCATGAAGTACAAAAATAGTTTTTTCACACAGAAACGTTACGATGGTATAAAAATCAGTTAAAGTTTCCATCGAAAATTGTTTTTTTTACTCCTATAGCAACAAAAATTAGATTAGACAGTTGAAACCATTTATTTTCTATTTATTATTCATTTATTTAAAAATTTATAGAATGACTTGTTCTTAGAACATTACCTAATGTTAATTTAGGGTTATAATCAGAATTTTTTAAATAAAAAATTCAGTTTCAAATCTAGTTTGCTACAAAAAAAAAATATGAATATGTGGATTTTTCGATGCTCTTCTCAACCTTGGACCGACTCGTCAATTGATCAGCCCAATTTGAATCTGTGTTTCAACTCATTGTACCCCACATTGTAATCTGCAAATGAGCTCTATAAACGAGAAATACGATCATCTATTACGGATTCAATTCGAGCAATCAATAAACAAAGTGATACTATTTAAATGTTCAAAATCAAGAAATTGTGCATATTTTCAGAAATCAGAGAATAAATATAATTTCGAACTAAAGAAGTTCATATGGTTTGACTTATACTGTCAAAATATGGTGCCTTTGGGGGTGCTGCATACTGATCTTACCTGGAACTTTCAAGCGTTGTAGCTGAAAAGAGTATATAAAGTTGTATATTTCAATGCGAAAGTTACCTTTTTCATCTATCCTTTGAAAAAAATTCTGATTCCGATGTATATAACTTTACTTATAATTAAAATGAAAGCGACTTTGAAACTTTTTCGAAATGCGTAAGAATGGTTTACGGTGCTTCGTAGTAGAGTGTACAATGAAGTCCATTTCTCAAATAATGCACCCTTGGAACTGACACGTAAACTTTTTGAGATATTTTTATCCTAGCCACTATTACTATGAAAACCTTGTGTTTTAGGGTATTTGTAAAAGACGCCATGACTCACCAACACTCCAAATTGTGTGCTGCGTGCTAAAATATTCTGACATTATAACAATTTTTTCTCAGAGGAATATGGATCGGATAACGTTTTATTGCAGTGATGAAATCCGCATTAGCATTTTTCATCACGGTACACAGGCATCACATCCTTTTTTTAGGTTACTGCTACCAGGAGCTTCCGTCAAGTTTAACGACGAATTCAGTCTCTGAAAAGAAATTGTTATACTTTCAGAATATTTTAGCATGCAGCACACACTTGTACATCGCCTTCAGTGACAACATTTGCTACTATTCTCGATTGATCAAGTCCCTACCGAAACTCTTTTCTTTCGCTGAAGAAATCATTCACAGATGTAATATCAGGAGCTTTGAATTTGTATACCTAGATGTATTCTAAGGTGGATATCAATACAAATAATTTAACTTACCCCTTTAAGAGATGTTCCTTGGATGAAGTACGTCATGAAGGGTGTAGTTTCTAAATATGTGATGTACATACGTTTCTACAAGTAACTCAGCGTCCTAAATACTGCGTAGAAGATCAGCGGATACAAATACCCATCCATCTCGATGTCGGTAGTAGTATTCCATTCCGGGTACCTCAGGTTTAGGTTCAAGTGGGTGTTGGTGTGGGGTTATCTGACGCGCTGTATCGATCTAGGATGGTCTCAGGCAATGTGGAGGCGTTGGTGGGTGATGGCATCTTTTACAAATACCCTTTGTCTTAACTCTGATCGGATGATTTTTATTCTGAGGATATTTGTATAACGGTCAGAAAAATGCTGCCGTCGTATCAAGTGCTATATGTAAAATAATCTTGAATTCGTGATGCACATGAAATGTTATCCACAATTGAATGTTTTACTGATCGCCGTTGAATGTAGCCGGAGGAGAAAATTTTGCCGATATTTCGAGGTAAGATGAATTTTTCCTTGGAGGTTTTTCTAGAAATCTCAACAAAATTTTCTCTCTCAACCACACCCAAAAATGATTTTAAATCCCGTAGGAATTCCATAATTGCGCTTTCTGGGACTTCTCCTCCACCTCTCCGAGGGACGTCTATATCGCGGGAATGATCCTTTTACACGAGAGTTACGCCGGTTCTCCTATGAAGTATGGGCCTTTTACGAATTTGGATAAAAGTTAGTAGTTTGGTTTGCAGCACATCTGTTTGAAGCACATAAAAATTTTATCATACAAATGATTCACTAAAAGGCTTCTTTTAGTATTGTTTCTCATTAAAAGATACTTTCATATCTCATTCGTTATCTTAGACTTTCTCCATTAGAGTCGAACAGGTCGCATTGTGAAACTAAACAATGCGTAGCACAAACATAGCATAGTTTCTTTGAGATATTATAATTCCCATGAGAAACAGCATAATTCTTGTGTAGAAGCATAACTAACCATAATTCATACTTCTGACTTTTCTGACCGCACAATAATAACTGCAACAAAATTCCCTACACATATGTCCTGTAGAAATAAGTTACCATAATTGCTGTTTCTCGATATCTCTCCTACTACTACATAGGTCATTGTCTCCATGAGTCATTGGGGTTTTACATACTCGTTAAACAAAAAAGGCTATTTCCGGAAGTATCAGATAGTAATAGGATTTACAAAACGCCTCTCATTTTGTTTACTAAACCCTCATTTGTCTATCAAACTCTTAAACGGTTGGTATCCTGTTTAAAAAAAACTTTTCTGCGTTTGATAGACGAAATGGAAAACTATTATTCATTTCTGACAGCGTCACTTTTCTAAGCACAAAAGATTTTTCATTTTGTCTATAAAATCCACAAAAGTTTTTCTAAATGCCACACCATTCTCTAAAAAAGAAAGGTATATTATCAAGCCTTTTCCTTCTAGAAATTCAAAACAGTTTAGTTTTGATGGCAATGCTTAAATCTTTTTTACTACGAAACCGTTTTAAAAGTTTCGTCGTGAGTACTGAACTCAAAAACGGCTCCGCACAAACCCTTAATTCGTTCACTAAAAATTCTCAAGATTCACTTCAAAAGATTTCACAGAAAATCCTTGAGAATTTTTACTTGAAATGAATTAAGGGTTTGTGCAGAACAATACAGTGTTCCGTAATTCAGTACAAAATCTTCGTTCAAGTACGGAGCCTTTTTGGAGTACTTTTAAAAGGGTTTCATAGTAAAAACGATTTAAGGATTGCCATTAAAGCTAAACCGTTTTGATTTTCTAGAAGGAAAAGGTTTGGTAATGTACCTTTCTTTTTTAGACAGTAATCGTTTAAGAGTCTGATAGGCAAAGAAGGATATAGTAAACAAAACAAGAGACGCTTTTGTTATACTAAATCCTTATTTAAGGATTTTGTTCAGAGAGCACCTTCGGTAGTACTACGCGATTCATCGAATCAACAGAAGAATTCTCGTACAGATGAATTGTCATTTTTAGAAGTCACATATTGAACAACAAAATCGTTATGATATTTTTTTGTGCCATATTCAATAACAAATTTATCGGCATAAATGTTTGTCGACACAACTGGCATGGATCGTCACGTTTAAAATGCGTACATATTTGTGGTATTACAATCTAAAACGTACGTTTAACTACAGTATAGTGGTAGTGTTACTCAATGAAGAATAATCTTATATTTAATTGAACACTTTCATCCAAATAAAATAATTCATGTAAAAGAGGCTTTGAAAAGTTGAAATAAATAAGACATTGGAAATGATAAAAATGCTTTTTAAACATTGTTACGTATTCTACGTTTAGAAGAGAATGACATTTTGCATACCCGCAAAAAAGAATATTAGAATACACATTCTTAATTTTGATTAGCTTATACGAACGTGTTCCTTCTCATTTTCTTCGTTGAATATCATTGAAAGTGGATGCAATTTCCAGTTCATACCTCTTTCCATCTTACGTCCTTTCCAAGAAAAAAAAAATCTTCGAAGAATTTTCGACTTTTCATTATTTATACTTTGATATGAACAACATTTCTTGGAACTTTGGACTTAAAATTATTGAGATCGGTTGTTGGTCTTAATAATAAATTTTTTACGATTTGTTCACCAATCGTGTTTTGTTTTATGCAACTAAAAAATATTGAAAAATCTGAATACATTTTTTTTAACAATTAGAGGTATGCGTTTTCCCGTAATCAAAACGCCTGTATTCATGTAATGATACGGGATTCACTTCTTAGATTTTTCTCATTTTTCTGACACATTGTAATAACGTTTTAACCATCATGAAATTATTTGTTATCGAATTTATCGATTTAATGGCTTTTTTTTTGTCAACATAACATAAACTTTCACGTTATCATACGTACGGTTGTTTCATAATTACTCAATATTTTATTGGTAATAGTAATCACATATACAGAAAAAACATTAGTGAAAACACAGAACAAACAAGGCTTAGAGGAAAACATAAGAAATGACCAGTACTTACTACAGAGAGAAATAAGAAAACAATATGTGACACGAAAAATAAAGAAGGTATGTTTATATATGGATCACTATTCGATCTCTAATAACAAACTTGATCAGGATTTTCATCAACTGGAAACGTATATGTGTCTCCTCCATTAAGCCATTGAGTAATGTTAACTGTTCCACTACAGCTAATGTAAATACATGTTGGACGCCATGCTGAACCACCCCATTTACCATCATTGTAAAGTTCAATATTTTTAATTTTTCCCAAATTTTCTATTTTACGCCATACGACTGTATTAATTGAATTACGTTCAAATTGATTAATTACACCTGTGGCTGTCAATAAACGACGTGTATGATTACCATATTCAGCAATCAGTGACGCATAAATATTTGAGTCTGTACCAGCACCTTGTTCATTGGCTGTTCGAATTTCAAAATGAATATAACCGAGTGGATGGCGTTCTTGTTCTACACATTGTATTAGAGAAATCAGAACAAATAATATTGAATAATTAACTAATGAAAATAACATGTTTTTAACACTGATAAACATATTTTAAGATGAAAAAATAATAATTGTGTATACAGTTTATAAAAATCCTCTTTGCTATTTATATCTAGTATGAAAGAAATTTTTATTTTTGTAAAAGAAACTATTTATCATTTTACGTACGTGATGATATATTGATCATTTTGAAGTACTAGATTCTTCTTTTGCTGTCAGAGATAAGAATGTTAGAAGAAAAAGCGATATTTTTTTTATAATACGGTATTGACCCTTGTAACAGATAGTAGCCTTCGACTTCGTGTTAGATTTAAAATACCATTCTATTCAACTGGTTTTTGAAATAATAAATATATATTTATATTTAGATCTCGAAAAATCGTTACAATTAACTTTTTCTTTAAAATATTTTACAGTTCATGATTCAAAGTTCTTGTTGCTAAAAAAAAAGATTTCTGTATGTACCAATGAGTAATAGTGGAAATTCATATCTCCTTATTCTTTATTTTACTGACATATATGGCATCAAAAAGGAGAATTCATGAAACTACAGAGAAAATCAATTCAATCTCTAAAGTGTTATCAAATACATGAACAGGTCAAAAGATGGATTCATCGTGAATATTAAGTTTCATAATTGAATTAGAACGACTATGAAGTCACTAATTCCCTCTTCATGATATTAATATGAATAAAATATAGGTTGGGTTAATTAAATCAAGGATTAATGGTTTTGATTCTAATGTCGATATTAGATAGTTGGCTAGAAAAGTACGATAAAAATGAATGTTATAAGAAATCCACGTACATAATTACTAAAAGTTTTCAAAGTTTTTCCTGATCGATTCCTGATTTACAACCACTTAAATTTTTGAATTCATAAACCTGATATCTATAAATGCACGTAGCATCAACATTATATTGCAACCAATGTATTTTTTCTCCGCATACAGACGAAAGTAAAAGTCGACATAGTTTATCAATGTAAAAGCTAAATTGATTGACTGTCTGACCAAAAAGTCTATGGGTGTTTGTTGAACAACTTTTAATAGAAACAGGATAGATCATCGGTTTTCACCATTCCATAGCCAAGAAACCGAAGCACGTAGTTGAAAAGAAAACTTTCGAAACACTTCTCCAATCTTGTTTTTTCATGAGTTGTTCGGAAAACCAGGTTGAAATTCCGAAAGTTGTCATACATTTGTTTGTGGCATCTGATTTACCGAAAGCCCAAGAATTAGTATTTCTTTAGATGTGGTAATCTCAGACATGGATTATCGACTACGCCAACACTCACGATAATGTTTGTTTTCTGAAGAAAATTGAAAAATGCTGTAATGTGTGCTTGATGTAATAAACTAGTTTTACTATTTTCACGGAAACTTAAAACATTCATCACTCACTCATATTCGGTCCGAACTACGTTAAAATATCAAAATAAACTGTTTTATCTGTGAATACCGTCCAAGTCAGTAAAAGTTTTTAAAACCGATAGAAAGCACTTAAACGTTAAAAAGGTTTTGTAGAAACCATACTAAACGAGAAGATGCTTTTTACTAGATTTTGATATAGAATCTGATTACGCAGACACAGTTTAACGGAATTTACGGCTATCGAATGATAAAAAACATATTCACAGAATTTTACGACAGACAGTACAACACATTCTATCATTACTTTAGCACTACTTCAGCATTTAATTCAAAAAAAGCCTTCCAATAATACGCGTCGTTTGTTTTCTAGAACACTCCTTTTCTAAAATTTTCCATAATGTCAAAAAGTGAGTAAACTTACTCATGTTTCCCATTCTTTAAACCAATCACATAACTTCTCATTTATTTTATTATTGACTAATATTCACTATTTCATACTGAAATAGTACCATGATTTGACAAGACACAAAAAAAAAGATGGCTGTACATAAAAGGTAGTGAAAAAAATATTCTTATAGCTGAGATACCCATACACGCACACAAAAACTAATGTTTAAAATGTTTGTTTGAGAGCTTGACGTCTGTGCTGAAATCATTTCGTACACAGCACAATAATTTTAATTTACTCCACCAGCACCAGTTTGTTGATATTGTTTTGGATTTCGTCTAAAATAATTAACATCAATTTCTTCAGACCAAATAGTGAGAGATAAAATATATTAAACTTACGTTAGAATTGTATATCGTCCTGCAACGAAAGATGCAATAGCCAATGCACAATAACCAAAAACAATCGTAGCAATCATTAATCGCGATGAATGACTATTGATACGTGAACTGCTTGCAAAATCGAAAAGACCAGCTGTTATAAATACACAGGCAATAAAAAGAAATAATGGTGCAAGAAAATAACGAATACGTGGAAAATTAAGGAATCCCATCATTAAACCACTAAATATAGCACCAGCTAGCATGAATAGCGAACCGATTAAACATAAAACAAATGTTGAAATTGATGATGGTAAATAACCAAAGTTACACTGTGCTGCTGTACATGAATAAAATAAACCTGACCAATGCGCCTTCTTTACCATACGATTGCCATTTTCATAGTCAAAACCAATTGTCCAGTAATTTGTTGCCATTGATATAACAGCCATAACTACACCAATACCAGCAAAAACAGCAGCACAAACAGCTAGTTTACGATTTAAAGTATCGAGAGCCATAACAATGAATAAAAGATGTGAGTGTAGTAGAGTATGATGTGTACAGTTTACGTATATTTTAAGAAATGTCTATCCGGATAAATGTCTATATTTTCTAATATGTATCGAACAATAACAGAGAAAGAGAGAAGGACACATTTTTCTCCTCTTGCCGGCTGACAAGGACGATGGTCAAGAAAAGAGAAAGAAGTGGATAAACTTATTTTGAAAACGGACGTATAACTTCCGTCTATATGTATTCTTTGTTTTTTTATCATTCTAGTCGACTAGTCATATATAGACATTCTCGTATATTATCTAACCTTGAAGAATTCAACGCTTACGGCGGTTTGTACGTGACTTGTTATAGAGTGTATCTAGTTTTTTTATATAGAGAAAAAAATAAAGAAAAATAATATCCATTTACTTTCGACGAGCTTGACCGTACAAGACAATATAGAATAGAGAAATTGCTTTTCTTAGATAAATAAACATGTGGAATTTTATTATATTCTTAGGAAAACGGTTGAAAAGATAGCTATACGTCTTAATGACTTAATTTCATGAAAGAAAGAGAAACATGTCAAATTTTTTCTTTTTTTGTACAAGTCAAGAATAGGATACACTACATATAGGTACAATAAGAGTATTCTCAATGGAGAAAAACAAAGATCAATTCTTTTCGTCCTCAAAGTTGGATTTATTTATAAGAAATTAAGATATTTGTTGAATTCAGATCATTAATGTGCAGCGAAACAAATGAAAAGCTGTTGTTCTAAATGGCTTTTCTTATAGAGTATTTCAATATTTTCTTTTGTTTAATATAAGAGTTCCACAATGTGGACATTCTATTTCACTTGTATCTAATGCTCTTGTATCATAATTTTTTATTGGTATAACTCTCGGTGGATGTCGATGTTGTGCGGGTTGTTGTAAAGGTCGAATTTGATGTTGTTCGACTACCACTCTGCCACTTCGACTGCGTACTAAGGCGAGAATGATTAGATAAAGGATAATATAAACGAGTGCCGTGATTAACATTAAAATAGCACAAACTAATTGACCGATTAAGAGCGAGCGTTTATTAAAAATATCTCGAAATCTCTGATCAGATATTGCCCAGTTTAAGGAATTACAGATCGATTGGGATAGATAACATTTGTAAATATTATTAATAAATATTGAATCGAATACAATTAGAATAATAGCAAATATGGCACAAAGGACACTAACTAGTAAAACATAGGTAGCACACGATCGAGATTTATGACAACAAACTAAAACAATAAGAGAGTGAGAGATTTTGTAATTAGTTTAAAAAGTTATATTAAACTTACTTAGTGCAAACATGGATACCCATGATAATGTAAATATAAGTGAACACCAGAAACCTGCCCATATTGTCGCATGCACGGGTGAAATAATTACTGAGGCTATTTCTAATGCAATAATGATAAATGTTAATAACATTTGAGTGACAGCTAGTAGTACGGGTACAAAAATTGGAAATTTTTCTCGCCATACTAAATCTTTTTCTGTACGTGGACTATACATGTTGATCGTTGGGTTACTATGGCATAATTATGGCTGTTGCATAGTTTTGATGTATTTTAAAATCATCGCTTTGATTATATTTTATTTTTATAATATTTTAGAAATCAAAATATGATGCTGTGTCAGTATTTATTCTTGTTAAAGAAAAGAGTTCTTGATTATAGTTAAGTTGTGGAAAGAGAAAAAGAAAACAACACAAATTTCCTAAACATTGTTTAGATCATGTTCCCTACTTTTATATTCATCAAGATTACCTACGTACGTGTAACATAATCTGATTTCAACTTTTTTTCAATTTATCGTAATATACGATATAAAATAAAATTTCGATTTCTTGTGTGTTGGACTTGAAATTCAATTATATAAAACATTTTGTCTCTATTTCAAACAAACCATTTATCAGAATATTTGAGACATGAATAGCAAATAATTCATTCACAACTCTTCATAATTCTACGAATATTTTTAATTAATTGAAACAACCAATTTTAATGTTTTACTCGTAGTGTAATAATGCTTACCTTGTCTTGCTTACTAGTCAAAGACTATTGACGAGAAGGATATTGTGTTCAATAAAGTAAAAAATTAAAAACCATATAATGGTTGATAGACTGTTTATTCTCAAAGACAAATGTTCATGACACCAAAAATTGAATAAATTTCTTTACTCTAATACAATAGGTGGAAAAAGCCATTCGTTTTTTTCGCCCAAATTTAGTAGTCAGTTCTGGTGTAACATATTAAAATTTAAACAAACTTGACTATTTACGACGAGACAGACCATACAAGTACACAAAGACTTATTCAGATGCATATTGTTGCTTGTATAACAGTCGAAAAAAACTACTTTTACTAGATGAATAAAATAACAGTTAATGGAGGTCTTGGCAGTAAAGCGCTGATAGTAGTAATCGTACAGACACAACATAAACGATAATCTTCACTAGTATAGTCCTTTTTTCCTTGAATATAACTTTTCTATAATATACGATGTTGAATCTTATAAGAGTTACTGCAAATTGGTATGCTCAGACATAATTACTGTTGCTATAATGGCAATGACTGAAAACGAAATAATGTTTTCTCGCGATAGATCATGAAAAATCATGAAACATCTAAATGCCAAGTGACTGAACTCAGAGGCCTTGAAATTCCATGAACAACAAGCGAAAAAAGAACTGGAAGAAAACTGTAACGGTGATCAAACTTCGACGAAGACTAAGAATATAGTTTATAAAATAAAGAATCCTCGGATGATTACATGTTGCTTTCTTTGGTTTTGGTAATATAGAAATTTAGTACCGATTAGAAAAAGAATAAATTTACTTTCGCGAAACCCGAAGCACAGCGTCGGACTTATTGCTGATTTCCGTATAACTATTAGTCTGTTACACGATTGTATTTAATGGGGTCCTGTCGTCATAATATATCAGTACTATGCCCTTGTTAGCTCAAATTTTAGCAACGGTAACAACGTCATTATGTCTTCTGTACTTATTTCACGCCTGACTTTTTCTCGTTTTTACGGTACCTTCGAGACAGGACTGCTTATGTGCAGCTCGTCTTTCTGACTAATTTTTGAATCCATATACTACCATTCGAAAGAAGAGACGTTTAGCTTTACAATGATAAAACTGAACTGCTGCCTTATAGCAGAATTGTATCTGGAAGAGTTCTACCATTATAATGTATCACAATTATACCGTTGTTCGCTAAAAAAATTTTGGCGGACAAACTGTTTCTGTTTAGAATATATGAATAGTTCTAAATTTTTGAGAAAAGATCCTAAGAAAATTATAGAAACTAGAAATTCTGAGTATATCCCAAAATTTTACTAAAACTGAATTTTATACCCATAAATGTAGAGAAATCTAATTTCTCTAGAAAGAGCACAAAAAATTGCACCTGATACTATTGTAAAAAGAAAATTTAACGTTAGCTTCTATCAATTTAAACTGCTTTTTTGGTTATTACGAAGGGTCATCTAACGACGATGTCTACATAACCTACAGTTCTTATATAGAGAAAGGAAACAAATTGAGTTTTCAGTTCTTTCTAACATTTTACTTTTTGAAGATAGTTATCAGTTCAAGAAGAAATGGAAGATTAACAACGGATTGTTTCGGGTAATAATTGCAGATAATAATTTTTGATAATGGTTTTACTTACTGTTTTTTATACCTGAGAAACCTTAAAGAAAACCACTCGAGGTAAACTAATATACTTACTATAGAAAAAAGTACTACTCGTATACATCAAAGACAGCTTTTCTATTTTAATTTTTTGAAGCAAAATAACAGCAGTAGTGTTCAAATTTATTGAGTCTATTTTTTCTTTATGTAGAATAGACTGGGGTAATTATTACCAGGCACAAACTTTTTCTCAGTATTTTACAAATGGTTAAACCATTTTTAGTCGGAGAAAAATGGTGACTACACAGGTAGATACTTTCAGCTATGCACTGATGTAAAAATTGTCGGAAAATTCATTACCGTTAAATAGCCTAAATTAGTGCCATTCAATTTCCAGTGCGTTACTCTTAATTGGTTATAATTACTCCATTTGGGGTAATTAAACCCAGTCAGCGTACTCCGCTGGGATAATAATAACCATCACATCAAAAACGGCTGGGACGATGTAAATCAACTTTGATCCAACGGTGAACTTTTACCTTTCAATTAAAAAGTCCATCTTGTAGAGAATTTCGAGCTTTACCCATCTCATGAATTTCCAGTTAATTAGCTTTACCGTTAATTACTTAATGAGAAATTAGTGAAATCAAAAGACACAGTCAGTTTTTTCGCTATACAGGAACTGGTGTATCTATAACCACAGTACTATTTTTCATTGGGTAATTATAACCACTCCGTGCAAATCACACGGAATAAAGAGAAAAATGTTTTCTTAGGTTCCCAAAGACCAATTTTCATACCAGTCACATGGTAGAATATGTATGTTCAGAAGACCGTTATCTATTACAACATGTGAAAATCGGAAGAGAAAAAAATGTTTTGATTGTCTATTCGTGTAAAAAGTAATAATTGTCAATTTCAAAAACTGTCAATATTAGTTTGGTAATTAAGTTGGAATCTTAATTAGCAATGACATAAAACTCGAAATTCTCTACAAGATGAACTCACCGTCGTACAATCATCTGTATCTCAATAATGTTCCTCTTTCTGTTGTGTCTTCTGTACGTTGTCTTGGTTTTCTTGTTTCGTGCAATCTTAGGTAGCATGAGCATGCCAAAGACATTGCTCTTGATTGTCCATGTAAGCTGGATTTACTGAGTCGTGTCCTTGAGCTTCTGCTGGGGCTAATTCAAAGACATGATCCAAAGCCCCTAACTTCCGTCGGGAGCAATGTCCTTAGCATTCTCACTCCACCTTAAATCGTACGAAACAAGAACACCAAGACAACGAACAGAAGACACAACAGAAAGAGGAACATTATTGAGATACAGATGATTCTAAACAAACGGAAAAACATCAAAACTAAAAGGAAACCAAGAACATTTAGACACATTGAGAGACATGAGATTGGTAGAAGACCAATTTGAAACAGAATTTATACAGGTACGAACATGAGAAAAGTAGGTTTAGAACAAGAAAGAGGCGTGAACATTGTCTTGGATTCAAAAGTCACGGAAGGGCGTTGAAAGATATAAGTTCCTAATTTAGGAACCCTTGACAGTCAAAGGACAGAGCGAGCGCAGACGAACGTTACCTTGTTATATAACCCCGGAACAAATTCAAATGGTTGTGACTTTTTTCACTGACTGACTGGTCTTACTGATCACATTTCATTGGTCGAAAACATAGATCGACCAATGAAATGAGGTCAGTAAGACCAGTCAGTCAGTGAAAACACAAAAGTCACAACACAAGTCGACAATCTTAAGATCATTTCTGACGGAATCTTGATTTCAGTACTTTCTTCCTGAGAAAGCCATTTTTTTCAGATTTTCAGTCAGAATCTGATGGTGTGTAGTCATACGACCATGGCTCGTACAATCAAAAGCCAGTT